GAGAGAGAGAGAGAGAGAGAGAGAGAGAGAGAGAGAGAGAGAGAGAGAGAGAGAGGATATCGCGCGGAACCATCTCCCTTTATTGCTTAATATATTCGTTATTCATCTTACCTGCACCAGGTTGGCGTAATTGTCCTTGTCCCGAGGCTTTCCACCGTCTCTAAACGCGGGATATTCCCAGTCGAGATCGAGACCGTCGAAATGATTCTTTCGAAGAAACTTGATCGCGTTCTTGACGAATTCTCGCCTTCTGCCAGGATCGGCTACCATAGGTGAGAACCTGCTCGAGCCTTCGTTCCAACCACCGATGGCCAATAAGGTTTTCAAATTTTTGTTGTACGTTTTTAAACCGGTGAACTTGGCGTATCCACCTTTAAAAAAGTTGGTTAATAAGTCGGTTAATAATAATAATAATAATAATTTTGTTTTTTTTTGTCTTTATACCTTTCTCGATATCTTGATACTTGTCGAATGGTTTCAAAGCATTGTCCTTGGTGAACCCGCCGAAAGCGTAGATCAAGTGGGTGCATAAATACGGATTGATATTTTGAGGCGAAAACTTGGCGGTTCCCGGTCGATAAATGGACCAGTTCGTGTAATAACATACGATCTTACGCTCGGCATTGCCTATGAACGAAAAAATGATCAATTCTCGCAGAGAAATAATAAGTATGAAATAATAAATATAAATAATAATAAATGAACGATCCCTGTTTACTCGTCGAATAAAATTAATAAGTTGATATTAATATTTATCGAAAATTAAAAATCATCGTTAAGCGGCGGAAAGATGTCAGAAACTGTTTATTGTATTCGTAATTTGCAATTATAAACTTGCAGAAAATTGAGAAAAAACGCGAGGCATAATGATTTCTTCATTGACGAACCGATTTGCAGTCACCTTGAGGAATCGTCGTTGGTATTCGCTTTCGATCGCAGGGTGTTGTCCTCGATGCTTTCACTGATCGCGGGAACCGAGGCCGTCCAGAAAGAATGTTAAAATCGAGACTGGAATTAAGATCATCGCTCCTGACCCTGACCACCCACGTGGAATAAAACGCGTATTAATTTTTTCCAATCCCACGATACGAGGTGGAAAATTTGATTTTTTTTTTCCGTTTTTAATTTTTCCACGAGAGAGAAACACGAGCGAATAACGAGTAAAAGTAATCTGGTACAATTTCCATGGCCTTTTTTCCACGGTTCGAAATCACGACGAGTACAAGATAATGATAATCGAATCGACCAGGGAATAGACTCGAGACAAAGATCAACATCGATATCGAACGTGTTCCAGATTCTATCCACGCGCGCGATAGTTTCGCGTAATACGAGCGTTGCAGAGGCGGTAATGGAATTAAGAGCGGTGCATAATATCCGAGATAATATCGGTAAAAGCTAGCCGCAAATCTAAAATTCACAGTGTACTTGTTAAAACCACGTAAAACTTTTCCTCTTTTTATTTTCCTATGTATATCGACAATTATCGATGATTCCGTTGCACGCCCATTAACTCGATAACTGCATATTATTTTATTTTTCATTGAAACGCGTACAAAGTACGGTAAGTATGTTTAACGATCCGAAACAATTGGCCTCGTCGTTAGAAACTATGTTACGTTACACGGTTTTGCGAAGCGATTCATAATTTTGTAGTATGAGAAATTTTACGAAGAGAACGAGTTCTACTTTTTGTATTTGGAATATGAATCGAAATGATTATAATAATCTCTATACTTTAACACGAACTTAAATTGCTCGTAATTTGTTTTTAAAACTTTTAACTTTTTGTTTTTAAACTTTTAGGATTGAAAAAATATTTCATGAATATATATTGTAAAAAATATTGTCTCATATATACACATATGAATCGCCATCGATTCATGATTTTACATTGCGTCAATTGTTTTTTTTTTTTTTTCTTTTAAATCGGATAGAAACGATTACCGTATCGATTACAAGAGATAAAAACTTGGCGAGAACGAATATCGCCTTAAATATCTGAGCTGTTTTACGTTTACAATGTACTTTCCACGTCTCTCCCCTCCCTCCCCCCGCTATATCGACTACACCTCGAACGGGCCCGTTTTTGCCTCGAATGTTTTCTCCGACGAGGTGCACACGTTTCACTGGTCGAGATATGGTGAGTCCAGTGAAACTGCATCCGCGCGTGCGCCGATCCCCACGTGTACCGGCTATGCTAGAGAAATTACACCAGAGAGATCAGAGACACTCGGTCACGGAGTAAATGGGCCATTCGTCGTTCTTATCCTTATTATTTTTTTAAACAAACTTCCTTTTCATCACTTTGAAATAGTTATTATCGATAATTTTGTTACTCGATGAATTCGCAAGATTGCTTGCCGTGAAGAATCGTTTAACTAAATCTTTGTTTTTCGAAACTAGCTAACGAAACGATGAAACTAAATTTGGTTGGTAACGAAATACTCACCGTTATGAATCGTCGCGAGTAGAATACTTAGGCAAAGCAGCAGTGACACCGTTCGGTTCTCCTGTAACGGAAAAGTGATGCGACGAATTAATAATTCAATGTGTATACTTCGATGAGTAGTTAGATGTAAATATATATAACTGTACGCGAATGATCAATTAACCATTCACGGTGAAACTATTTGCGCGAAATCGATCTTTAATATCGAGTGTATTTTTCAACTCTTCAAAATATCTGGCGAAAGTGGATTCGCGTAGTGAGTGAGATACAAGTCGGTTGAATTCTCGATCGATGGAAAGAAAGAAGCACCGGTTCGGTGCACCTGCGGACGACCAGCTTCCCATTTTATTCGAGATCTCGAGGATAATGCGATGTGTCCGATCCAAATAGAGCGGGGCCGTGACACCCAATCAGCCACTCCTCGTTACGCAACGGGTATGAAGAGAAAGCAAGAAGAAAGAACACCCGTTCCGCGACCACTTTCTACCTTGAGAGTACGTTTCGGCCAACGAGCGCGTTACGTTAACGTTACGTCGCTTCGTAACGTCATTCGGATAGAATCGGTAGATTAGTAAAAAAAGGACAAGCATTCGCATTCCTGTATGTGTGTTGACGCCATTTTTCATTTTTTCCAAGTTCGTTCCGAAGAAGAGGAACAAAAAGAAGAAGACAAGGGGAAGGAGAAAATCCGATCTCTTGATGAAATAAACGAACGGGTGGATCGAAAATTCTCTCGCGGATCTGTCTAAATGTCAAATAACTTTCTATAGAGTCGGAGAGACTCGTGCGAGCACGCTTTTAACCGGGAAATAGCGGAGACCGCGAACGATACGGCGAAAACCACCTGTTGCTCGATCGACGAGTTCCTTTCGGAATGTTTCATAACCGGAACTGGCTTTCGGTGATTTCTAACGAGGAATCTGTCATCCAATGAAAATTCTCATTCAATTGCTATCGGTTATCGCTGCCTAACTTTCGGTAATGATATTTTTACTCGATCCATACGAGAGAAAGCATCAATCTTTTTTAATGCTCGCAACAACTTCGTATCTATTATGAAGAGGATATACGTGGATATTATCGCAGATTTAACGCATACCGATCGAAGTTGGATTGAATTGAATTTGGATGGAACGACCGGCTTATTTACATTCGAGTTGCTGTGACATTTGAACAGCTAGTCCACGCGATGACTTCACCCTCTTCGTTTTATTACCGTTAGTCATTCCGATACCGGCGAGACCTTTTAAAGAACCAGACAATATATGCCGTATATAATGTATAACGGGCCATGAATTTTAATTTCGAATCGAGATTCCCTCCGAGAAAAATATTTTATTCGCCGATCCGAGGAATCCCTAATAAATAAAGTTTAGGAAAACGAGCACGTCGGGACAAAAACCTGTATATCGAATACATTGATCTCGAAGGAAACAAAGGAACAGAGGTAAGAATCGCGGTCTTCGAGATTCCAGGCACGCGGGGACGGGAGAAAGAAGAAAACGAGAGATGGTTAATTTTAACCTTGAAGATCCAGAATCTCTAGTAAGTCCGGTAGCTATAAACCAGTTGCAAAGGTGAACGGGATGGATTCGTGCGTCATTGTAACGAGGGTTCAATCTCATCGTCCGAATCGTTGAGAAATTTGCTCTGGATTAAATTACTAACGATCGCGAATCGAAGAAACGATAATTGCTCGATCGAGATATCGATTTTTAACAATGATCGGATCGAGTGGAATGAAAATTGCGTCGATTTAGCTGGATTATTTTTACGACTATGAACCAGTTAACGACTTTTTACGGGAAATCGATCGTAAAGTTGAAAATAAATACGTTTCACGTATTCACCCTGTTAACGCGTACGCTCGAAAGCAAAGTGGATTCGATCTGTCGCCGATGGATAAATCCAACGTGGCTCGGTCACTTTTACTTTTCGTGGAATTCGCTCTGAGGTATAGAACTCTCGGCTCTGTTTACTAGAAAACTACGATTGCGTTTTTGATTAAATCTTCTTTGCCAGTTGCTTAATTACCGGAGGAAATTATCTAAGAGAAGGGGGGGGGGCGAGGTAATGAGGTTTCTTTTCTTCGCTTTTCTTCGTCTTTTGTTTTTCGTTCTCGACTCGTCTGTCTTTGTCCATTTTATTTTATACTATTATAGGATGAATCGTCAAAATTTATATAAAGAATTCATTAAATCTGATTATCGAAATGAGAATTTTCTCGATATTCAGTTGTTCCATTTAGAAAACGTTTAAAATATGTGGAAATATATCATATTTGGTTGGCCTTCTCCTCGATGAAAAGTTCACTTTTTTTTTTAAATAAAAAGAGAGAGATTATACTTAAGAATTTAAAGGAAAAAGAAAGAAAGATTACTCGACGAGTCTTCGAAAGGTCAGCAGCTGACCTTCTTCCTTGCACTCCCCAAGTACTTTTTTTTTTTTTTTTTCATTCTTTTTCTCGTCTCTCGTTTATCCATTATTCTCGATTTTCTCTTTTCTTTTCAAAAAAAGTTTCGAAACAATTTTTCTTTTTCTACGATAAAAGGAATTTATCGAATTTTCGTTAATTATTGTTCTATGACTTTCTTACGACGTGAAAGTGGCAAGTTTAATTAATCAGAGAAAGTATGAATTTTTAGAACCGGTTACGTCAACGTTACACAATTATTTACTATCGACGACGATTTCCTTTGAAATTGCTTTCCGAAAAATGTCTCGACTCTTCGAATTTCAAACCTATATGGAATAATATATATTTCAACTTCTTCAAAATACACAACCGTTTTTTCAAAATTCCAATCTGGACAAGTTTGTCCCCAAATAAATCTATCGATCGAAGGAAGCGTGTAAAAATCGAAATGACATTCGAGAGATAAAAAAACAGAAATTTTCTGTTTGTTTAAAGAGAAGTGTTGCGACCTCGACAGTTTTGCAATCTCGAATTGCTACACGCGTTCTCTCCTTCTTTGCTTAGTGTCGTAGCGGCTGTGGAGCGAAGTGTGCAGTCCAGCTCGAATAACCGGTAGATATCCTCTCCCTCCTCTACCTCCCTACAGGAAGCCAACGATCGTTCTTAAGCATTCGGTACGTGTGTGTGTAGATCTCGCCCTCGAACAATACGGCTCGACCTCATCCTTTGAAAACGCGCGCCACCACCGTTTGTAACGTTTTCTCCAACGTTTTCGCGATGGAATTAATGCTATTTACTTATTATTTTTTTTTTTTTTTCAGTCTCTTCGAAGATTCCACAGCACGCATAATCTACATGCATAGAATTTTCGATCGAAATTCCAATACGGGACAAAGGTACAGGCATACATAAATATAATTAAATTAATTTTCTTTCGTTATTTTGAAATATATAGAATAAATGAATAAGTGAATCGATATAAAATACGGATGTTTCTTATTTCAGGAACGAGAAAGTTTCTTCGTATTATTCCTTATCGAATATGGAAATTTTTCGAAAGTTTCTCAAAAAGTTCATTCACTTTTTTTTTTTAACTTTCTAATTTATTTATTTTTTTATCTTTATATATAATATCAATTTCTTCGAGTGGATAATAGATAATCTTTACGAAACGTTTCTTAAAAAACGTTCGGATTACACCATTTTAATTGAATTGAAATTTTGTAAATGGAAAAGAAAGGAAAATCGGCACAACCATCTTACCCAATCCATTTTCGTCTCTTTTGCAGTCTCTTTACAAAACACCGTTGATGTCGATCGTCGAGAATCTCGCCGTCAAGACGAGCACATCGCGCACTATGCTGTTAACATAGGACGCGACGTTTCCGATGCACCCGCGACCTTGTACCTGACGAGCACGCCAAAGGACACCCGAAAGCAATCGCGAGCACCGTACACCGGTGCGAGGAGAGCGAGACTGAACGTTGTGCAGAGGATAGAGAGGCCACTGTTACTTTCATGGGTTGCCTCCACCTCCACCGTGGGACTGTCCGAACCTCTCCAATCCATTCCTGCCACTCCTCCTCTCAGGCAGAGGTGAAAGGAAAACATTTCTTCCCTTCTTCCACCCTACCCCGAAACTTCTTCGAGTTCGCTTTTTTTTTTTTTTTTTTTTTTTTTAATAATACCGATTTCATTAAAAACTTCTTCTGTTGATTTTCAAATTTAAGAATTTATGTAAATTTTTTGAAGGCACACTTTATCGTTTTTTTTTTTCAATTTTGTTAAATTGGATAAAATCTATTTCGCTTTTTATTGTATATATATATAAATGTTCTTATTGGTTCGAAAGGATAAATTTTATCAATTTTTGTTACTTTTAAAAAGAATTAAAATTTAAAACGAGTCGATTTGTAGATAGCTTCCGTGTCAAAATTTTATCTAATTTTTTAAAATCAAGCGCGTGCGACTTTGTATAATTAAATCGGTTTGAAACGTGGATCGAAGATATTAATGTTAATTATGCCACGATATTTATTGTTGAATTATTCGATATTGAATAGCGTTAAACCCAAATACATAGAATTAGCACGTGTCTGACATACTACTGGTAGAAATTTAAACTATTTTCGAGAAAAGTAAGACGGGAAAAAGTTTCGACGTGAGGCGAACATCAATAGGCGTGCACTCCTTCACGAAAAGAACTTTTTAACTTTCGATCGATTTGATTTGCTGCCAGTTATATTGAAAGAAAATACATTTTCCAAGTCACGTGTGAACTATGAATTTAATTGTATCGTTTCCGTGATCGTACTATGTATAAAATTTTATAATTTATTTGCATCTTCCAAAGCTATATCCTCTAGACTAAACGTGGCCTTTTTACTCTTCTTTACCGATTGATCTATCAACAAAATATTAATTCGGTTTATTAATAGATAATTAATTACAGCGCAAAAGAGGGATTATAATAAATGACATACCTTGATAAAAGTGTTTGGCTGTTCGTTTTCTAATATCTTCCACACCCTCTTCGCTCTGAGCCCATTCCAAGACCAATCTTCGACCGTACAAATGAGTACTTTGACACAAAGCTTTAAATGCTTTCTATGAATATAGTAGAAAAAGATTATATTGTATATGATGTATATATTGATCGTTGATTCGAGATGATTTAAAGAATTTATTTTAATTTTTCGTATACCTTTGCTTCGCTTTTTGTGTAATATTCTACGAAGGCGAATCCCCTGTGTTTTTCGACACCAACTAATTTTTTAGGTAACCGTACTGCTTTCAACTCTCCGAACGCTCTGGTATTTCAGTGAGAAAAAGAAAAAACAGCAGAGAAACGTGAATAAAAAAATTTACTTCTCTTTTTTAAAATATTATAATAAAATATTATAATTTAATTTAATTTAAAATATTATATAAAATAATATAATAATAAATATTTGAAATACGTACTTGAATAGTTCGGTTATTTCCTCAGCTGTTGCTTGGAACGGCACGTTTCTTATCAAAATTTTTGTACCCGTTTGAGGTTTTACCGTAGATGTCTTTTTTGCACTTTTTACGTCAGTTCTGCACATTCAGATGAATAGAAATGTTTACCGAAAATTGTAAATTGAACAAGGAAACTGAAATTGAAACGAAAGCATACGTTAATGTTCGCTCAGAACGTTTGAGTTCTAAAGTTTTTCCGTCCAACACTGTCATTTGTAAAACTTTTAGTGCACGATCCGCATCTGCTTTTCTTTTATATCTTACAAATCCATAACCCATTGACAACTTGGCACCAGGATTTTTTGTATCTTTCTTCGTTGCTATCGAGGCATAATGAAGAGGACCACATTTGTCGAAATACTATAAAAAAAAAAAAATGTTACATATTAAATAATAGGAAGCAATGTTTGATAAGTTATTTACCGTTTTTAATTGTTCATCCGTAGTGGAGAAATTAATATTTTTCACGAAAAGAGTGGTGTCTGGTTCAGGTTCGTCTTCATCTTCGCTTTCTTCTTTATTAACCTTATTAAGCGTATCATTTACATTTTCTGATAATTCTTTTTCTTGTTCTCCAACTTTTGTTTTTTCGTTTGTTTCGTTAATAGTTTTGTTTTTTACCGCAGGAGGAGTAGTAAAACTATTGTCAGGAGCCCATTCCAGATATAATGGTAGATGTTTATATTTAGTATAGGCTAATTTTGTGAATGCTTTTCGCGCTTCAGAGGGTTCCAAAAATTCCACCAAAGCTAAATGCAATAAGTTAATGCGATGTAATATTATTAAAAGACACATATAATGATAATAATATTATTAAAATTTATACCAGTAATTCCTGAAGGTGGCATCACAACTCTACCCAATTCGCCATGTCGTGCAAATAATTGTCGAATCTCTTGTGCTGGTGTTGCAGCAGGTAAATTCTTCACCAATATTATTGTTTTTGATCGTTCATTTGATGGCTGGAAAAAATGCATTAATTAAATCATTTGTTTTATATAATCATTAATATTTATATTTCACATAATATTTACTTGATTAAATGCATCCAAACAAACTCCATTTTCCTCCAAAAAGTTTTTGGTATCCTGAACCAGTTGTGTTTCTCCTAATGCTAATTTAACTGCAGCACTCAAGCCTTTTGATCCATCTTCGAGTACATTTTCCTTTGTTGTATTATAAGTGGTAGCTATAGCATCAGCTATAGCATTTTGACCAAGAAAAAGAGTGTTCCAGTTATGTGATGATCCTGCAGCTGTTTTAGCTTTCAATTCTTTCTTCTGTTTATAAGTTAATTCTTCTATAAGTAAATAATATAAAAATTATAAAATTATATAATATCAATATTAGAATTATTATAAAAAATTATAAATTCATGCACGATATATTTTTACTTTCGTCGAGTTCTTCTAGTGAATCAATTTTCATTTTGGCTGGAAGAAGATGTAACATCCTTCCGTCTAAAATCGATCCGTCTAATTCGCTGTAAGCTTTTACCGCATGCTCGGTCATTAAGAATGTTATTGTACCAAATCCTTTTAATTTTCTAGTTATTCGATCGATGGGTAAATTAACTTCAGTTAAAGGACCTAAATAAAAAAAAAAATTATATATTAATATCATACGTATCATATTGGACAAGAAAAAAAATTATTTACCATATTTTTCAAATAATTTTCGAATATCATCTTCGGTTGTCGTATAAGACAAATTTCGAATAAACATTCTTCCAGATTCTGCTATGCTTTCTTCACTTTTCAATGCTTCTGCTTGCTTCTTCCATTTAATGTTATTATTATTTTCATTTTGTTCTTCAAATTTTTGTTCCTTCACTTCATATTTTATTACAAATATTTGTCTTCCATCTAAAAATATATATATTAAAATATAGACCAAAGTTTAAAAAAAAAATAAAAAAAAACTCTTAATAAGAGTAAACTATACGGTACCTAAAAAACTTTTGTTTTTCAATAACGCTTTTCTCAAATGTTGTGGAGTTTTGAAACCAACATAAGCAATACCCTTAATTTTTGGCGATATTCGTATCGATTTTGCTTTTAATGGACTAAAAAATTGCTTGATATCTTTTTTCTTATGATTATACGCTAATCCTCGAAGTTTTACAGTAAATAATTTTAGTGGTCCATGTTTAGATGGATTATCATTTGAAATTTTCTTTTCTATGTTCTTTTCTTTATTTTTTAAAGTTTCCATATACTATTTAAAAAAATAAACATTATTACTATATAAAAAAATAAATATATATATAAAAATATATATATAAAAAATAATTATATATATATATACAAAACAAATTAATAAGTAACAAAGAAATACATATATTTAAATTTACCTCTAAATCAGATACAACTTTATGTGCAATTTTTTGTTCTTTCTCTTTTCTTTCTTCTTCTTCTTCTCCTTCTCCTTTTTCTTCATCTTTTTCTTCTTGTTTAATATCCTTAATATCATTTTCAATGCCATTAATTTCATTATCGTTATATTCTTTAGATTCAATAGTTGTCAATATTGTATCATTATTCCATATGGCCTTATTTGTATGACTTTCAAGAAATTCCATAAATAAAGGATCATTTTTATGCTAAATATAAATCAATATGAAATTACACATAACATTTAACAACTGGTATAGAAAAGTAAGTTATAATTATACCTTCTCTAATGCTTCTTTGACTTCAGGTTTTACAATTTCTTCTTTTTTATCTTTTTTGTTTCTCTCCTTTTTCTTATCTGTTGTTTTATTCACATTTACATTTTCTGATTTATCACTAAACTGTTTATTATTAATTACATTTCTTGAACTATCAGATGCATATTTACTCCATGATCTAGGTTTGGAAGAATCTCCTTTAAAATTCAATATCAATAAATATGTATTAAATTAAAATTATCATCATAAATAAATATTCATAATATAATATAAATTTATATTTATAATACCTAAACTTGCACATTGCTCAACTGATATTCTGCAGGTATCGATACATGTTTTATCAAAATATTCTTTGGCAGCTATAGCTTGTTCTTCTGTCTTAAATCCAATAAAAGCAAATCGTCTGAATTTACCATCTTTTGTATATTTTAATTGTACGTCAGTTATTAAACCTTTTTGACTAAAAAGTTCCTTTAATTTTATATCTGTAATCTATGAATTTTTATTATGTATTAAAATTTTTTATTCACATTATAATTACAATTATATCGTTACATTTTTTATTACTTACATTTTTTGGTAAATTTTTTACAATCAATCGTGACATTTTATGTTATTTATAATTATTATTGAGCATTTTATGTTACACATTTTATGAAACACGCGTTTCAGATAGGTTATGTTGTTTTGGATATAAACAGGTTAAAATTTTGTACATATACGTAATATTCAATATACTTACTACTCACAAATTCTTTATCCAGTAAATTATCATTTATTTCGTACAAAGAATGTAAAAATAATAATAAGAATGAAAAATAATAATTCAAAAACTATATCTTTATGGAAATTGAAATCATTTTATCATTTATTTTTATTATTTTATGGACAAATATTATCAATTATAAATTAATTATAAATAATTATGAACAGATATATATATAAACAAAACTAATACTTCGATATTGATATTTTCTACAAGATATTTTATAAAAGTTTATTTTATTTTCATAATCATATACATATATATTAAATAAATAAGTTAGATTTAGATAATCAGATTTTATTTTCTTAAAATTTTCTAAAAATTATTACTAACGCGTGTTTATCTATTTTATTATATTTAAAAGCAATCATATGATGTGAAAAAAATTTTATCTTTCAAGCAAATACATTTCGTAAAGTCGTCGATCTTCTTCTTTCTGAAATTTCGGTACAAAGTTTATATGAACGATTTCTTTAAATCCTTCTTCCAAACTTGGTTGTTGAAAATTTTTTCTAAAAATAAATCTAACAATGAATTTTATATAAATTTAATTTTACGTATAATTTAATTTTACTTACACATAAGAATTAATAATTATATCATTAACTTTCGCGTGACTAGGATCAGTTAATTCTCGAAACTGAAACAAAATATTTAGCTTAAAGTTTGTATTGTAAATGTTGTTACATCACATCAAATTAAATTATTTTTACCTTATTGTTGTGCTTCGCATGATCGATACTTGTCGTCATAACGAAACATCTTACAGGAACGTTATATTTTTTCGCTATTTCGATATATCTTTGTCTTGATACACAATCGGGATTAGTATTATCTATAACTACACTATATTTTTCATCCAGATGTTTTTCCATTATAGTAATACATTTTTTCCAGCTTCCAAGAGTATCTCTATTAACATATCCGTAATGATCCAAATAATTTTTTACAAAATATGATTTTCCAGAACCTGGACAACCAACCATTAAAATAATCTAAAAATATAAATTTAGTAATTAATACTAGCATTATTTATAATTATAATATAAATATCTCCAATAGCGAAAATAATATTATTTACTTCTTGATCATTTGAAGTTATATTGCTTCCTGAGCATATCTCTTTATTCGATAAATTTTTTGGATTAAATATAGGTAATTCATAAGGAATTGGTTCGAAATCGAGAAAATATTCTTCTGGCGTATAGAATTTTAAATTCAAATTGAGAGCTAATAATCGATCGACTGACGAATGATCTTTTTTTCTTCCGGGAGCCCAATTTTTCGCTCGTCCGGCAGTATCTCCAACGTAAAAAGATTTATCTTTATCGATAGATATAGGGCTATTTTTCTGTAAAAAAATTATTTAAATTTAATAAATTTCGACGATAAAAATAATTATTTTATGAAATGAATCTTACTTTTTCTAGTTCTTGCCACATTCCAATTGCTGGTTTTCTATAGATATTATATCCAGTAGCTATAAATATCTATAAATACATAAGATCCATTATATATATATATATATATATATGTAATTTATATTCATTCTATTTATTATAGATTATATAAAAAAAGTATACCTGCATTGGAACACCAATTTTTTGTATTATATTTTTAAGTTTATTCTTGAAAGAATCAGGATTTAATTTTCCAGATGTAAAAGATGCTTGATTAGTGAAAACAACTATTTTATATCCATCTTTATAGAGCTTTTTTAATTTGGCTGGCACATTAGCATATATGATTTGCCAATCATCATAATCTTTTGGAAATACCAAACCGGATTTTGTTTTTATTAAAGTTCCATCCAAATCATATGCTGCTATCTAAAAACAAGATTCCATTTACTTTTGAAAATATATATTTTAAATACATATTTTGTTTATTTACCATTGAGCGATTTTCTACACCCTTTGCTGTATATATTAATAATCCAGTTTGCTTACATTCCCACATATCCTGTTCAGTGTCTATTACATCATCTGTATCTTCAAATGTATCTGGAGACATTTTGTTTATGAATTTTAAAATACCATGAGCATTTTTTATCTGTTTTTCTTTTCTTTTTGCTTCTTTTTCCCCATGAATTTCTTCGCATGTGGCAATAGTATCTGTTTCATCATTTTCAACTTTAGCTATTTTACAAGAATTTTCTCTATATTCATCACCTGTCTCTGAATCTCTGATTCTTTTTTCTATCAAAGAAATTTTTGGAGGTGGAGGATTAAATTCAATCTGATAAATATGCTTTCCATATAATATTTCTAAATAATCCTCATGTTTGCCTATAAATTTGATGTCTTTACGCATTTTAAAACCATTAAAGCCAGAAGATCTTTTTCCATTTTGTTGAATATAAACATTATACTTTTGATAATCTGCACACACTTGTACTATAAAGAATATAATACCCAATGAATATTATAAATTAAATAATAATTATAATAATTATCAATTTTATATAAATTATGTAATATAATAAATTTATAAAAATCTTAACCTTGTAATCTAGAACATTGTGTATCTGTAATATTTGTCTCTGGAGAACGACCGACGAAAATTGGTTTATTATGTGGCAAATACACTGTCAGTAGTGATTTGTCATTGGTTTTCAAATAACAACTTTTAGCTTCCTGACTCATTCTGATTGAATAAGGCAAAAGAGAAAAAAAGAAAAAATATCATTAAATAAGTTTTATAATTTAAATTTTACAACTTTAAAAAAATATGATTTAAGTAATAATAAAATTTTTATAAGTAAAATTGACAATATATTGACAATTTGAAAATTATTTTTACATTATAAAATATAATCAATTTTGTATTCATTTCTTTATAACTTTAATTTGCAATATTTATTTATTTAAATTTATGATATTTTATCTTACGTAAATTTCTTTCAAATCTTTATACAAATACACATTGTTTACATTGATAGCGATCAAACTACTTTAATCTAACTTAACCTAATATAACCTAATATAAGAGCATATGAACGTTGAAGTAAAGAAAATAAGTGGTTAGATTGAATATTTTAAAAAATCTAAAAAGAATGGCCTCTAACGAATCTACAGAAATAGAAAAGAATCCTTACGCTTATCTTGAAAGAGCTGATTTTACGTCAGAAAAATATAAAATCGAAGTACACGGATTACCAAAATATTATGGAATTGGCGAATTTAAAAAACTCTTAAATGAAAAGCTAGACTTGCAATCGTGCAAAATAAAGCCACCAAAACGAAGCAGTGGATGGCTTTATGTATCTTTTAGAAACGAAGAAAGTCGTCAGAAAGCAATAGAAACATTAAATGGAATTTTATGGAAAAATTACAAGCTTAGTGCTCAGGTATATCAATTTAATGTTATGTTATTTCGCATTTTCTTCTTCATAATTAATATTCGAACATTTATTACATATCAATATACTCGAAATTCATTGAATAGAATACAAAAAATATAATAATTTTTACTAAATCATTCATGTAAAATGATTACATCTATTAAAAATAGATCGCGAAACCTGCACCAGATCCATTTATAAAAAGAAAATTAGAAGAGGAAAATGCAAAGAAACGTTTGAAGGTAGAAGAGGATGATCAAAGCGTATCCATAGAAGATAAAGTTAAATTAACTACCATTCCTCTTTGGAACATGCCTTATCCAAATCAAGTAAGACTTATTATTAATAATATGGTATTAAAATGTATGTAATAAGAGTTTGATAATATGCTTTTAGTTGGAACTAAAACAAAAGGAAATGAGTTCAATTTTGACAATTATATGTAAACAAATGTTGAAAGAAAGTAAAGGTGATCTTTTGGATTGGTTGAATTGTCAAAAAAATAAATATCAAGGTTTACCTTGTGAATTGCTTCCTATTTTAAGTATAGATACAATTAAGGAATATAGAAATAAATGTGAATTTACAGTTGGTAATTTCATTTAAATTTTACTTATCTTACAGATAAATTATGATAAATTAAACATATTGATGAATTACTATCAAATAAATATTGATTTGATTTAGGTAAAAGTAACAAAGAAGACAAAATTGTAATAGGATTTAGATTATCTACTTATGCATCTGGTTCCACAGCAGTGGGACCTATCGACAATCTTTGTCATATTCCTAATAAAATGAAAGTTGTAGTTAAAGTAAGTTCTTGAGAATGATCCTTTCCTTTTTACTATCTCAGATTTGTTGTTTGTATTAGGAGTATTTTAGGTACTTGAAGAATTCATGAAAAACACTGAATTAACACCTTTTGATCCAGTTGATTATAGTGGATACTGGAGACAAGTTACAGTTAGAACTACTCTTTCTGATCATCTTATGGTAATAGTGGGGATACATCCTCAAGATTTGACCTCTCAAAAATTGGATGAATTGAAACTACAACTCAAAACTTTTTTTGAAATTGGAAAAGGTGTACAAGCACGAGTAACATCGTTATATCTTCAAATAATGAAAATAAAGTAAGATTATAGACCGAATGTTACGCAATTACGACAATTCGGTTAAATCGCTTTTTATCTTTTTTTAGAAGTATCGACGGAAAAGATGAAGAAAATTTTCATCATATTAGTGGAACAAAATACATAGAAGAAAAATTGTTAGATATGAAATTTCGAATATCTCCTCAAGCATTCTTTCAAGTAAATACATTGGGTGCTCAAATATTGTACAAAGCAGCGATTGATTTGGCAAAACCAAACGTGGACACTGCGTTACTCGACATTTGTTGCGGCACTGGGACCATTGGTCTTGCATTTTCAAAGGTATCAAAGATTCATTAAAAACTGATAAAATTTTCAAGAGAAGAAATAAACGCAAGCACAATTTCAGTATTGCGGTGAAGTATTTGGACTAGAAATGATAGAGGATGCCATCAAAGACGCAAAGGAAAATGTTATCGCGAACAAGGTATCGAATTGCGAATTCTTCGTAGGCAAAGCAGAAGATATTTTATCTCCCGTTATTCGAAGGACAACTAAACCCGACATTATCGCTATTGTGGATCCTCCACGAGCTGGACTTCGTAAGATTAATATAATTTTTCTTAAGTTAGCTGGTTTTGTTTTAAAAACACAAACTATTTATTCCAGATCAAAGAGCGCTACTAACTATGCGCAAAGCAAAAAAATTATCAAGATTAATATATATATCTTGCGATCCTCGGGCAGCTATGAGAAATTTAGTAGATTTAGCTAGGCCTATCTCGAAACAATACGTCGGAGAACCAATGGTTCCTGTGAAAGCTGTTGCTGTAGACATGTTTCCATATACCAAACATTGTGAATTAGTACTATGCTTAGAAAGGTTATCCATAGCCACGAAAGCACGCGATTCCACTTAATAATAATGGTACACGTACAATTTAGCCTTGTAACGTATATTTTTCAATAAATTATTTGAATAAAAATGTCGCATCGTTACAAACGTAGATGAACTTACCTTCTGTACAAAATAATTCTTGTTTTGTCATAAAACGATAACACGTAGAATTGTCATAGGGCATAAATTGTACATGAATAAGGAAAAACTTGAATTTTAAACCAATCGAATAGATAACGTTTCGTCTAATTCGATTCGTCTTAATATTTAATTTTGTATAACGATCGTTTTATAAACCAGACAGATATATTAGTTAACACTGTTTAATACAACCGCACCATATTAATAGTGATACGCAAGAACTTAAATAGTCATCAAGAAGATAGATGAGAAGTGATTCGAAAGCGAGAAAATAATTCGATTCAAAATAAATGATAGATTCATCGTTGGATTTAAGATCTAGTTTTGTTCTGAATTTGTGATTTATTTGTTTCTCTTTCAACCGGGGAAAGCATGCGAATAGTCGGGTTTCGAAGGCTGGTTACGTTGGCTTATTATCACTTTCTCTTGAAGCACGTCACAGCATTGAAATAACAACGCCAATAAACACGCCCTTTCGCTTGACCTCGTCGCTGAAGATCCATCTGTACAAAAAAAAAAAAAGAAATTGGTCAAATTTCGAGTATATAACTTTGCACCAAGTAAATGGGTAAACTAACCTTCATCGTTTGCTCGTCCGTAGAAGGAATAATTTGCGAATTCTCAATCGATAGATGGGGCGATCTTGCGAACGGTCTACTGCCATCCAGCTCTCCTTTGTTCTGATTGTCCACAACTTTTTGCAACGCGACCATTAATCGATCGAACAAAAGGGCTGCCCTCTTTGGCACCACCACCTGAAAAAGAAATTTTTCTTCGATCAGAGATGAATAAGAGTATGACTCACGGTATGGTAATTACACGTGCAAAGGATTTACGCGCGATAATTAATTGAATGGTAGTATCAAGCGGCGTAGACCGTAATATATAACCGCAAGGTAATTCTGTTGTTATCTTGCTCCTTTCTATCGAGTTATCGCACCCCTTATCTCCGATATTTAATATTTAAGCCAATTAAAATTAATTAAACCGGAGAATAATTGCCGCCGAGTTTTAACATTGAATATTCTCTCGATTTTCTTTCGCGTTTTTCCCACGTTTCTTTGGAATCAAGTCTAACAATGAAAATCTAGAAAATTCTCGTCTTTTAATCGTTATTATTATTCCCTTTCGTTGAATTTTGAAGAAATATCATATCCTCCGTGTTATTTTCATTTAACCATCTGTGATGTCGAGTAATAATAAATCATTTTCTATTTTTCCGACGGAAAACGAGCTTGACAAACCTTTTCTTTGTATTCCGACCGACGCTTCTTAAGCTCACGAATTTGCTTTGATCGAATTAGCTGGAAAAAAAGGATTGTAATCCATTTAAAACAATTTTGTTTAAATCAGCAGAAATGAATTTTTCTTTATCCCCGTTTATAAAATTAATCCGATTTTACATTTTTTTTTTCATAACGAGAGCAAATTAATTACATTGTGTCTCATAGTTTTCTCAAGTTTAATAAGAAAATAACAAGGCGAGTATACATTTAAACGAATCCAACGAGCCATTTCCACTCGATTATTTCATTATTGCTTGAAACTCTTCGAAAGTTGACAATTCGATCTTCGTTAATCTAACTTGATTATTGCTTTCATCAAATTGTCTTACACCTTTTAAATTAATTTGCTTATCTTATCAGTCAATTTTTTTTTCGAACGGCATTGTTAAAATTGACAATTAAATTTTTTTTTATAAATACGATCAAACAAATTTTTTTGTTTGGCCGAAAGATATTCAATTTCCTATTGCAACGAAAGAAACCGGCGACCAGTTTAATTTTCCTCGACAAATAAAAAAAGTAAACCGACTCGGGCCCACATCAACCGAAGTAAACATGGTAACAGGGCATTCTTTTTCCTATCTTTTCCTAAACAATCTCGAACGATTTCCCAAAGGGTCCTCAACCGATTTATATTTTTCTCGGGCCGTTTCATAAAAATCTAAACAGGTAGCCTAAGTAGAAAGCGCACAAGAGATTACACGTATCGGATTATTTTTAGCCAATTGTTCTCTCTCTCTCTCTCTCTCTCCTCGTCTCGAAGAAATAGAAATACTCTAACCTTGTTTTCAATTGTTCGTAAACGAGTTGGCGACGATAGTAACATCGTCATCCATTGAAAGACGGACAATTTTATCGCTGTTTTCTTAAAAGAAAAAGAAAGTGGTGGCTCGAGAACGAATCGCAGGGGATATTTTAGTGCAAGTTTTGAAGTTGGTTCGGAGACAGGCGACGGGAATGAACAAGAACGAAAACGTCGCCAATGGCAATCTCGCAAGTAGAGAGTAATTAAAAATCTTCGTCAATTGACAACGAAGCCTACGGACACTTGAAAGTAATTAAAAAAAAAGAAACATCACCGTCGACAGGTATTAGGAAACAAGAAATATACGAGGATTTGACATTTCTTTTTCCCCTTTGAAAAAAAATCCATATTAATGAAAATTGGATAAAAATTTACAATCTGAGAGAAAAATGAAAAATTCTAATCTCATATATCGTATTAAGAGGGAGATTTAATCAAATCTGAATTTAAAATAAAATCTCCAAGATATTCACGCTTTCGTCAATGAAACCAACTTTGCTGAAATTTTCCCGTCTCTTAAATATGTAATTCCTTTTAATTGGAACGTATCGATGTTCGGAAATTTCATTGGTGAATACGGTTAGAAATGAAATGATTGCATTTCAATCGAGTTTCGCTTTCGCTTATATCGATGTAGCTTTAAATATTATAACGTTTTCTTTCTTTCTTTTTTTCTTTTTTTTTTCAGTCTTAAAAAAGAAAACAAAGCAGCAAAATAATTTGTATCGCGCAACAAAACCCTTTATTTAACTCGGACAATTTTGTGGAAAGCTTGGCGAAGAAAAATATTTTTCTTACGGATAAAAAAATTCATTTTGCACTTTTTACTCGATCGGTACAAATTGTCTCCGGATTACCTACAGGAAAGCTTAGGGTGTTCGATCATTAAAGATTATCAAAGAAATATAGGGATTCTACTATAAAACGGTATACAAAGATGCCTGAGAGGGAAGGAGAGGATATTAAAGGACAAAGGGATCGGTTAATAACCATCGGTTACAAAAGACCGAACGTTGGTTTTCCAACAACGTTTTTTAGGATATCGGAAAACGGGTTGCTCAATTCGATCGCCGGTTGGAAAGTTTAATTAAAATCGATGCTTCTAAACGCGACGCCGCTTTAAAACTTGCACCTATCGAACGCAGAAAACCTTTGTCCTTAACCAGGAGAGCATTGTAAACGTATCTCTCGATTATGTTATCATTCCCAGCATCCCTTATCGCTAATTTAATCATCACAAATACGGGAACGTTGAAACTTTGCCGTTTATCGATAATTGAATTCCGGATCGACGACACGTCGAACACATCCGCCGGAATCCAGAACGCGATCCTTCCTTCTTCCACGTTCCTCTCTCAATTATTTCCAAAAAAATCTTATGATATTGTCGATGATCGATTCTTCGAAGATCTTTATCCTTCCCCTAGCAAATTTTTCAATAATATTTTTAAAATTTTTTTTATAGAACTTAAAAAAATTTTAATCGGCCAATAGCCGATAATTATTCGATAATTTTTCGAAAAAATATTATACTGTCGATATACTTCGGAGTTATTTATCCTTCCTTTAATAAATAATATTTTTAAAATCTTTTCTACTATTTTAAACAATAAGCTCGTTTACGAACGAACGAAATATAAAACGAAGGCCGATAATCATTCGATCATTTTTTCGAGAAAAACTTTACACACCGTCGATCTCGTTCCGTTCGATTCCCAAGAGATTTTTTTATCCTTTCCGTTCCCCTAACAAATTTCCCAATGACATTTTCAACAACTTTTAAACTCTCTCCCGCTATTCTAAAATAATTGTTTGTTTACTTACAAACAAAACGGAACGGTGAAATATAAAACGAAGAGGGATAATAATTATTCGATCACCGAGGATGGTCATCTCAATCTCGTAGAGGAGTATCCGCGCGATAATTCGAAATCAATTTCTTTTTATTTTATTAGGTAATTTAATTTTAGTAGGCGAGCAATATCGGAAGGCAATGCCGTTCGATGCCGCCGATATGACAAAGACGCGTGCAAATTAATCGATTCATTTCGAGTAGGAGAGAGTTGGCATGATTTTGCGTAAACGCGACCATATATGCGTGCATACGCGATCGGAATGAATTTGCCATCCGTTCTAAATAGATATAATGGAAGAGCGTGCATTCATTCGAGTGAAAGTATCGTATTGGTTCTCGTTGCAAGATAAAAAGAGAAAAACAAAGAAGGATAAAGTCACTTTACGAAATTACACGTATTTTCGATATATCTATCTCGTTTCACCAAACGTTTACCTTACGTTAGATCAAAAACACCTGATATTTCGTCGAAGCAGAATAAGAATAAGAAAAATACGTACTGGATCCGAGTGGAAATTCGCCTGTCCAATTTGCTCGCGTTAGAAAAACGAAAACAGCATTTCGTACACTCGATGCAACTTTGTTTTCCTTGTAAAGGCCTCGTAAAAGTAACGTCCATGTTACTTTCTTGAAAAATCTATTCGATTTACGATTCTTTCAACAAACGATTTTCAATGAATCGATCGAACGTTGATCGAACGACGATCTCTTCCAACTGAGAACTGCAATTCTCGAGACACGCCTGTTGCTCTCGATTTACTTGAAACTTGATTACCGACGTAGCACGCATGCGCATCGATCCACACTTTTTTCCTCCAATTGTAGTCCAATCTTTGGACAAAGAGAAGCAGAAAGGAAAAAGTTTGAACATTTTTCCAAGCAAGAAGAAGGGGACACGAGATCTACAGAGTTACAGGGCGGAAGCAAATGCTTCTTCACGTAAATACGCGGGTGAAAGGAGAGAGGAAAAGGTGCGTGGGTGAGGAAATTTATTGTTCGAAGGTATTCCGAATAATCCATTAACGTTTCAAGGGATTTGAAATCTTTCGAAAATTTATCAATCACCCTGTACACCCGTGCCAATTGGCAAACAATTGCTCGGCCTATATATTTGGTAAGGGAGAGTGTTTCATTTAATAATCTTGACACAAAACCATCTTTTTCTCGTTCCGCAAATAATCACCGTGTCGCCAAGGTGTATCGATTTAACGATGATTAAACTCATATCTATGGCGCGGTTTTTATTATAGCCATAGAGACATAAAAGTTATCGCGTCATCAATTCCGCCGATGACCAAAAGATGAACTTCTCCTTTCTCTCCCTTATTATTATCTCGATCCCCATTAATTCATTCGCCCTTTTTTCCCGCATCGAGACAAATTAAATCGATACGTTCACGATCGAAACACGAACGGAAAAATCTCTCTGGACATTCGTCGAAAGAATTATTCGAGAGGCCAATTCCTCGATGCGACATCCTTTCAGAGACTTTAACGCTCGAAATATCGGGCAAGTGTCTTAACTCGCTCCTTCGTGTCGCGTTCGAAAGATTCGAAAAAGTGGTTGATATCCTCCCTTCTCGTGATAAATTAAAACGTTGAATCAAACTCGCGCATGGGGGGAGGGGGCTGCGGTTGTTCAATTGAAAAATTTAATCGGTCGATAAAAAAGAACGAAACGAAATGAAATTCGTCCTCGGTTGATTTAATCACGAACGAAACGATTACTTTTTATCCGTATCATACATCAGAGGGACGTAAGGGAGAGACGTAAACCTTATTAACTCCTTAACGAAGAAGAATAGGGAGGTGGTCCTTGTTGGAAAAGATGTATGTACATATATATATTATTTTCCTTTATTCCTTTCTATATATTTTGATTGAAATATATATATATATATATAATATATTTAACATTATTTATTATTTTATTACTATTATTATTTATTAATTATTTATTATTATTTAATAAAAAAATTATATATATATATAATTTTCTAGATTTTTCTAGCTTTTCTTATCGTTTGACGCGTTAAATTATCCGTCGATAAAACGATAAACGGAAAAATCATTGCCTCTCTCTACTTAAAAGATCAACTTGTCTTGTCGATTCAAATTAAACGAATTTATTTGTTGTTGGAGTGCAGATGAAATGATTCATTGCTGTACACCGGCTCGAAAGCTTGGAAGCACCGAGTGTCCGAATTAAGCGCGCGAATGGATCGACGACAAGTCGAAACAATTCTCCATTCACGAAATGTTAAACAGTTTCCACTTTGCTTCTCGAACGAGCGATGGATCGATTTTGTTAATCGATTTCGAAGAAATTTAACAAAGTCTATTTTCCTCATTCGCTCGCTCGAGGATTGTGCAACTTTCCATATTTATCGAGTTAATCGAGACGGAGGGGGAGGAGGAGGGAGGAGGGGGAGTGAAGGAGATAGAACAAATCCAAGACGAGTTCGTCGAGTTCTCTCCTTCTTTCGAAACTTTTTATAAAAACGATCGTTTGTTATAAAATTTGCGTTGCACTTCACGTAACTTTTTTGTAATCTTTCGTAATTTTTCTTCCCCTACGAACTTTTCTATTATCGATCATCGAGGGCCATCGTATACGGCCATAGCCATTTTTTTCCCTTAAAGAGGGGGGGGAAGGGACCCTTACATTGCAGATAAGTGTATTTTTAGATCGATAAGTGTCAAAGTATACGCGACCACTTCCCGTCGCACGCTCGAAATTTCCACCAACTTTCGACACGACACTTTTCACACGGATCGAATTTTAAGAATTTATCGCGAAAGAAGAAGAAGAAGAAGAAGAAGAAGAAGATTCGAAATTATTAAGATCGCAATTATTGGAAGAAAAATACGAAACGAGTCGAGTGGATTGGATTCCATTCAATGTTACGAAATGAATAAGAAAAAAGATGGGCGAATATGGCAATACAAAAGTAAAACAAAGAAGAAGAAATTCTTGCGAAGAAGAAGTTAATATAACGGAGAAATTCGAGTAGTCAACTCGGATTGAATCGATCTATGATCGTACAATCTTTCGTTTTATTACGAGAGAGAGAGAGAGAGAGAGAGAGAGGAGATATTTTTTCTTTTTAGAAAAAAAAAAAGGAATCGAGATACGATGATTGAAATATCAAGAAACGATATCCAATCCAGGCACGTCCCACGAGTTCGTAAAACTAGCATATTTTCGGTAAACGTTACGCGTACGTGTGAGTAGCTGGAGCGAGAAGCGCATTGGTGAATGTTAGTTACTCACCGGATATTCGTCGTACTTGGTCGAATAGTCGGGATAATCGAGATTGGCCGGGGCGTTCCTCTTGCTGAGAGCACGCTGCTCGATGGTTGCAGCGATCATGGGCACTATCGCCACCATCAGCCATGGAATCACTACTTTGCCCATTTCCCTCCCGAGAAATATACGATTATTTAATTACGGAAACGAATTATCGCATCCGAATCCAAGATTTATTTGTTTTCTTCCTCTCGCGCGGGGGATCTTGGATCGAGGATCGAAATCGCGGCGATCCTCGCGGTAAACGCGAATAAGATCGAGTACGAGAGTGTGAGAGAGTGAGAAAGAGAGAGAGAGAGAGAGAGAAAGAAAAAGAGTCCTGGCACGATTCTTCTTATGAAAATTGAAAAAGGAGCGCGTCGCGATATAATCGAGCGACGATTATATATCGAAAGATATCCTGCGCGTTGCTTGTCCCAGGAAGACGAAGGACGTACTCGAGGACGCAATGTGACGCCTCGAGCGGCAACCTCCTATATATATGTGTACGCGTGGCTGACGTTACGCAGGCGCTCGAGAATATATCCGATCCGCGAAACCGCATATTATCCTCCGATTCTCACGTACCGCCTATTTTCTTCCATTCCGTGATATCCGAAAATTTCGCCCTCCTCCGCCGCGAATCTAATTGCTAAAACTCGTCCTCCGCGAGTCTGGAACAATGAATCGCGAACGAAAAGCGAAAAAACGCGTGGACGAGAAGAAGAAAATCTTATCGAGGATGTATACTATGTAAGATGTAAGAAGACAGCATTGCAACGATTAGGATTGGAAAATCGGGAGATCGAGAGTGGGCAAGTTCGCGCAGACTTGACGTGGAAACGCGTTCTATATGTGTAGTATAGTAGGTGTAACGAGAGTTTCCAAGTTAGTGATCGACGAAGAATAACGTAGATACGAAAATTGAGTTACGCGGAAAAGTGGAATGGAAGAACACGCACAAGATTGGCAGATTCGTCGCAGAGGCTTCGAACGAATCTCGTGAGAGAATAGTTTGGAAGTCGGAAATTGGTCGGGGAATTATTAACTTGGATTCCAAACTCGGAAAATATATCGGCTCGATCTTAATCCCCGCTCTTCCTAATAACAGAATTCGCCCTTTGTTGTTCTTTTATATATACTCCTCATCGATTACTATACGCTACTGTTTTCAATGGAATCGAATTAAACAAGCTTACTGAAAACGTTTGTTTGAACAGAAAGAGAGAGAGAGAGAGAGAGAGAGAGAGAGAGAGAGAGAGAGAGAGAGAGAGAGAGAGAGAGAGAGAGAGACATTTGTCTTCGATTCCATTTAGCAAAGGGAAAAACGGGAAAAAACGAGTGTCCGCTCGAGCAGAATCGCAAATGCGACAGGTGGTTCACGAGAAAGAAACGGATCCGTATAATTAACCGAGTTCCGGTGTCACGTGCCGATTATAATTAACGACTAACACGCTCTGGTGGCCAGATACGTGACCAATGTCAACTTTCTCGCTTCATTTTTATTTTTCTTCTCTCTCTTTCCTTCCCCCCTCTTTCTTTCTTTATCTCTATGCGCGCTACTCTTTTTCTCTTTCTTCGCTTCGATTCGTTCGACAAATCGATAAACAGAAGCGAATTTGAGATATTAACTATTGACGGGTTGATCGAGGCAGAAATCGCTATCAGTTTTGATTTTCCGATCAACTTGACTTTACAGCACAATCTTACGGGAATAATTAGTTTTTCTTGACAATAGACCAAAACTTTTCTTCTTTTCGCGACCGATTCTTCTATATATTTATAAGAATAATCACAATGTATCGTGAATATATGCGAGAAATAGAATCGTATCGAGGGAGGAAAAAAAGAGGATCGTTGAATATTCGAAAGAGAAAGGAAATATCTTTCCCTTTTTGTGTATATTCTTTTCTTTTTTTTCTATCGTTTTTCCTATAGATTATGAATGTTTGATAAAACCGCGAATTCACATGTGCAAAGTTTTCTTTTAATTCGTTATCGATAAAAATCACAGCCAATTTCCAATTTTTCTAAAATTTCGATCGATTTGAAAGAAATATCGCGTGGATTCTCTCACCGATTCAACTCATGCCACCATTAATTAGCTAATGACAGAGATGCGATCTGGATTCGTATGTCGCGGAATCGGACAACAGCTTTGCAACTTCGCTTTGAAATAATAGGTTGTAACGTGATTTGTGGTTTGTCATCGATACGTTTTGCACAATACGCAACACGCGCGAAAAATCTCGTTCCGTATTGGCCGTCGACGAACGGACCAATGTTTGCGCGCTCGCGACCCAACGAAATTGAATCTTCATTCTCGACAGAGAAACTCGGTAACCGGAGCTTAGTGAAGTGGAGAAGGGGAGAGAAAGGAGGAGAGACACATGTGGCGAGAGCGACGATTCCACGTTCGCGAGAAGAGAATTTAAGAAATGACTGGCGTGTGCATTAAACGGAGTTTAATAACGAGCTCGACTCGTGCACTAATGGGTCACTTACGATCACGGTGATGGCGGTTATAAAACGACGAAAACGACAAAAACGCTTTTTTCCTCTGCGGGAGAGGACCGTTCCATCCGTTACATCCAATCGAATAGATTTTACGGTTGACGTTCGCTTCGTTGAAAGAGGAAAAAGAAAAACGAACATTGACGCGTAGAATTTTTACATGCGTCGCGTGTAATTTTTCGCGAGAGAAGTTCGAACTTTTGATCGAGAGTATGACGCATCGTACGAGTTTCGACGAATGGAAATAATTTTGTAATAAGTTTGAAAAATCGGAGGAAACGCGAGCGTCCGCGACATCGAAAGTCAATCAGAGTACAGAATGATCGGATCTGGGTAATGGAAACTCGGCCTAAAGGTTTTTCTGATACCACTCAACCACCCGTTGCGATCCCTCTCCTCTCTCCTCATCATGATCGGAAACCGAGATATTTCTTTCGATTTACGAGAATCGAGAATCGTAACTTGCTGCATGTTTCTTTCCTCTCTAATTTTAATCATTTATCACTTTTTCCGCTCCGTCACGATCCCACGTCATGTATTTTTCTTCTCGCAAAGTTAAAATATTTATAGATAAGAAAGAGTCTAGGGATCGACAACAAGTTTCAACACCACTTTTTAATACCGCGTGAAATGAAATAAAAATACGAAGAAATTTGTTCGAGTTGGTGTCTCGAATTACTCACGTACACGAGAGAAAAAAAAGAGAAGAAGAAACAAAGTTGGAGAAGGTTGGGGAGCGAGAGCGTGAAGAAAGAAGGAGAAAATTGTTGATTTTATCGACCGCGAATAAAAGGTTGGAAAAAGTACGATTTAGAATCGTAGCTTGCAGGATAAGTTACGACTTCGATAAAGAAAATACCTTTCAAGATTTCCTCTTTGCTTAGGAATTACCGACATGATTTTCGACCACTTCGATAAGCCAATCCTTCGTTATTAGCATACTCTATCAGAAATTTTTTTTTTCTTTTTCTTCTTCCTCCTTTCTATGAGAACGGGAATTGCAACGAAATTCTAAATTTAACGATATTTTTAAAATTAAAATAAAATATTTAATTAAACGTTTCGTACGGATGACACAATTGCGAAAATTATTTAACACGCTTATTTCGAATGTTTCGTTTCGATCTCGAAAATAATAATTATCGTAACTAAAGTAGGAGATGGCTATTTTGGAAGTTCGAATTCGTCTCGAACCACGAAAGCGAGAAATCGAAATGTTTTTCAAAGAGGTCTTAACGATTCGCCCTTCGTTACAAATCCCTTTCCGTGGAAATCGTGGGAGAAACGGAAAGAGAGATCCAATTTCGCTCAGGTAACGACGTTGGTCCATCATTTCAGAGTTGCTGTTTTTCGCGATCGATTCGAGATCGTCTCTCTCTCTCTTTCTCCCCTTTCTTTCTTCAAACTCTGCCTCGAACGTCTTGCCCACTCGCGTCGAAAAATGGAAATAAAAATGTTTACGACAAGTGGACAACCTTTTTTAACATCTTTCTTTAATTGCCTTCGGTTAATTATCGAATCGCGTAACTCTTTTCTTCGAACTTTTTCTTCGTACTTCTATCGTTAGTACGTAACGTTGCGTAACGAGAAAAATAAAAGAACAAATAAAAAGAAACAAAAAATATATTTTTAATCGCAAATTTTAACACTCGTAGTCTTATAGTATTCGTCTAATGTAATATTTGTAAAGAAATGTAAAACGATCGAACGATAGAATAGAGCAAGAGAGAAAGGTCTGACCAAACAATGATACGTTCTACTGCAGCCTGAGTCGATGCTACGATACAGAATTGTCTCGTTTCAAGGGCTCGATCGTGGCGAGATAACGCGAGAATTGTGTTTACAATTTACACCGACAGGTTCGCGCACATCTTGACATCAGAGATACCATCGTAGTTGACGAGTGACAGAAGCTTCGAGGCGGTGAAACGTGTCTGCCGTGTGTATTCCAATTCCTATGTAAAATTTTGATGGATGAACGTTTTAAGGCGTGTTTCTTAATGTTGTTGTAAACTCGAATTGTATATACGGAATCGAAAGAAAAAAAATGAGACAACGCGTTCAAACAGTTATAGAAATGCTTAATTAGCGACGATACGACCAAGTATTGCTCGTTAAAAGTTACGTAAAATAAATTCTCTCGTAGCTTTCGAATTTGTATTATTTCGTTCGAATTGATTAATCATCGATCCATCGATCCTCTCTTACATGTTCTTTACGTAATCAGGTTATCCAAATTTGCCTTCGTTCACGCTTAAAATAGGCGAATAGAAGAAAAAAAATCACTTATTTTTATATTAATTATATATATATTTAAATATATGTTTTGTTTTGAACAACTTTGCAGTTAATTTCTCTTCCGTTTTTGTTTAACAAAAAGCATATAAAAGAAAATAGAAGAGAAATTCAATTATCGATGATTGATGTTATTTAAGACGATCGAATTTATCAATCTCCAACTAAATTTCTAGCGATCCTGATTAATTACGTTTTACGAATGAATTTGAACGTGACTCGTTGTCGATTCGCTCGTTTATGGTATCGAAATGATATTTTCCTCGATGACGCGATTTTTTATTAAATTACGTAGAATTTCAAGGAAATTCCCCACGCTTCCACGTAAATTTCCTTCTTTTATAAGGTGTTAATGCAAATTCTATTTTTTCTTTTTTTTTTATTGACCAATATTGGCAGATCTCGTGGCCCAACGGGAACGTTATGATCCAATGCTTGGCCATCGTTTGAGAATCTCAAAGGGGAAATAAAGATTCACGATCGTGACCAACATTTTTACACACGAATCCATACGAAACAATTCCCAACTGGGTTGCAACATAGCGATTATTTAACGAAATATCAGCGAGCGGAATAAAAAGTTGAGAGGAACGCGTTTGGAAGAGCGAGCGACAAGATCCGTCGGTGAATGATGGCCCTGCAGCTTTTATCGCGTTTTATCATATCATTGTTGTTACGATCACGTTTTCTCCAATGTTGATGGCCTATTTCTTATCGGTCACCGATTATTATCGATCGTATGCTCCTTTATCACCCCGTAATCGGAAAAAGTAAAAATATCAACTTTTTTATCCATTATTTGTTTATTCGTTCATCGCGTTTCCTTCTTTACAAATTCTCGCATATTATCGTCAATTTTGAAATCGTCAAAGTTTAAATCAAAGAGAAAGCGTTCAAGAACAATTTCCAAAGAATTTTTTCCTGATTCGATCGATGAGAAGCGGCTACTATTCGTCGAAACGAATATCGTGGAGAAGAAACGTGTAATGCAACACGGTCGAGTGATAGATACGTGATCGGTGGGGAGGGGGAAGGGACGGACGTGGCAAGAGAGCGGAGCATGCCGGACCTCGCATATCTCGGGGGATGAGCATTCCTGCCTCTTGCCCACCGCCAATTTCTATCCCGGCCGCCGCATTGTCCAGCAATTCGTCCAGCAATTCTGTTCGCCCGTCAGAATGCACACGATCTCCGGACGGTGGTTCAAAAATATCGTTCATCCCCCTTACGTGAAATTGAAAATTACCACCGCGTGCACTCGATTCGATTTTTTTTATTCCTTATCTCTCGCTCGCTATCAATAATAAAATTGCGTTAACAACGAGACTTCCTTCGTCGCCTCCTTCCTCGTTGCGAGCTCGAGTCTCGTGGGTCTCGTCGTTTGATTCTCGAGATTGATTCGAACGGATCCGAGTTCCGGTTTCAGACGTTTATATACCGCGGTTCAGTGATGTTGTCCCATGGGGAGCAGGGAGGGAGGGGAGAGGAGGAGGAGGAGCTTGAGAAGAAAAGAAAGCTTTGATTCGAGAGCGTGGAAATATTAATATCGGCGGTGGACGAAACGCGTGATCGTGGAAAGAGAGTGACTTGTGAGCGGGGGGAGAGGGAAGGGGGAATGCGGGTTTTCCACCCCCATCGTTTCCACCACCACAACGCCACCGACCCAGTCCCTGTCTCGGATATAAAGTGGTCGCGTGCTTGCAAGCTCAGTCACTCTGTCGCTGAAGCACCGATCCTCGCAAGCACCTTGCTCGCCCAAAAAAGGACCAACCACTCGAGCTAACGACGCAACCCCGATCTCCATTTACCGAACAACAGGTATATTTCTTCTTTATCTTCTTTATCTTCTTTATCTCCCTCTTTCACCATCCTTTCGAATTTTGATTTTCGAAATAGACAATTATTAAATAGTTAGTGACTCGCGTCTCGAATAGATTGGATTTCTTCCCAATTTTAAATTTACGATATAATCGCTTTTTTATTCGAGCTCGTAATTTCTAGTCGAACAATCCCCGATTTCACTCGTTTACGTTATGAATGTCGTTGAATGGTGATGAAAAAATAGGCTCGAGTATGATAACGTTTCGAATATAATTATATAAATAAATGTCGTAAATTGTTTCGCTTAGACGAGACAATGACAATTCGTTCGATCGAGTTAAAAAAAAAGTGTTTGCCAGCTTGGGATGGATATATAAGTGTATAGATATAGGCAAGCGTCCATTTCGAGGGAGAGGAAAACCTGTTGCCTAGGGAGCCGTGCAAATTACTCGTCTATTGTCTTGCATTGTCTTTGAAGATATATATATATATATAAAGCGCGTATATAATTATACTACTTTTTGTTTTACGTTTTATTCGTTTTACAACGATGCATGCTCGTTAAATCAATCCAACTATTTTTCGTTTGATTAATAAATAGAGAATAGCGATATTTTAAAAATTGAAGGGGGATTGATATGGTATCACTCGAGAGAATTCCTTGGATGAATTATGGTTCTGTCAATGACAGGTAGAGTGGTTGTCCGTTATTCATCGCGGCAGAATCGAAGTGTCGACCGCGAACGAATAAAACCAACAATTTTGACATTGATCAAAATATTCCATTAACCGATCGATCCCGTCCATCAACGATATACGTAAAACCGCATGCAACGTTGTCAACGTTCATCCGCCTAATTTGCTTCTCTAAAATACACGTGTATTATTATTATATATATTATATATATTATATATATATATATATATATCCTCTCCGTTAATTCGTTTAGAGAAATTAATTCTTCAATCCGACCGAGACACGATAAATTTGCTTTTCGAATATGAGAAATTTTCAGTGACCGAATACGAGAGATTGCATTCTCGACAATAGTCTCAGAAGTGTCCGTCCGCGCGAGCAATCGTCGATAATCGGTTAAAAAAAGAATAACGCACGAGGCGAGAAATATCAAAAAATTAACTTTTGCTCCCTTTCGAATCGAATAATAAAATCGTGCTTTATTGAAATTCATCGGCTTTTATCCGATCGATTTCTAGAAAGTAGAATCTCGCGTTCTGTATCACCCGCTGTATCAATGGCCTTTCGACGTCGCTTCAATCGTTCGATTTTTCTTTCGAACGTAATCAACGCGGTACGAGTCGTCGCCGGATACTTTTAGAGCTTCCCAGCGAAGCGAACTGATACGAGCGATCGTTACTCGTGTGCCATCACGCTATCTCGTATTATTATCGAAAAAAAAACGCGTATCGCGCGCATCGTTGCACGTTGTTAACAGGGAATAGATATATCCAGAATGCGAATATACACATATGTAATTTTGTGCGATCGAGAGACGGAGGCGTTCACTTGGATATTTTCGCTCTTCTCGTGTCGCATCTTTTTTTTCTTTTTTTTCAATCTTTCATATTTTCAAAATCGATAATATGATTTTTTTTGTTAACGAACGACTATCGTTCGAACAACTAAAACGGTTTAATTAATCCGGATTGACGAAATTTGGTTTGTTTTTTCTATGTTACGCAGGATCGAAATATGTCGTCGTTACGAATCGCCATGTTTCTGTTCGTCGTTCTGATGGTGTTGATAGACTGCTCAACGGCCATCCCGGCAGCTGACAAGGAACGATTGTTGAACGAGGTAGACGTAAGTAACGAAAATCCTTCCCCTCCCCCCTCCCCCCACTCTCGCGATAGTCGTTCTTTAGAACATTTTTATTTTAATATAAAATGGCACGTAAATAAGAAAGAATATCGTTCGTAACGAGCGAGCGGCGGTAATATTAGTCGAGAGAATTCCACGTGACCGAGTCGAGCGAATGACAAATGTGCCTCGTTACCCCTCTCACCCTGCCCTCAATTTTACAACGAACACAAGTCGCTACGAACAACTGTTCTTGTCTTGAACTCGTTTCGAGAAGAAAAAAAGGTCTTTTCCTTCCTCTTGCTCTCTTTCCTTTGTCGTTGTATATTTATTTATATACGTCGTTGTATATTTATTTAATAATTAATTCCGGATCGATTGATCGTGATTTAAAAAAATATAATCGCGATCAAAACCACCGCAGCTTTTGCTGCGGAGATTAATCTCCATTTCCGGTTAATCAGTTAATTGCAATCAACCATATATGGGATGGCACAAATAACTTTTAACATCGTTCTGTATCCATTCGCGATTCAATGTGATATGTATATTTTTGCGGAATAATTTTTTGGAGAATAGGGGAGAAAGTTTCAAACCTGAACAAAGAAAGAATAAAAATGGAGAGATTCGTATTAGAGTCACGCATCTTTCGAAGAAATGGAAAGAAATACAATTCCGTCGGAAATTTATTTGGCACACTAGCGACGACAGTGAATCGCGTTTTTTTACAATATCCAGAAAGGAGTTTTTTGGTCGTTATTATGCCAACTGTTACCCTCAGACCCGTTCAAACTCTTCGTATTATTCTCTTCCATCCTCGGAAGAATGTTAATAACGAAGCTACCTTTACCTCCGAACAGTCATTTATTCGATTTCTTTCTCGATATATTAAACTTTTCTACTATTACATGTATATACGATTTTACCGATCGAGGTGAATTCTCGAATTCGAGATCATACGGTGAGATCCTTGAACCGCTTATAATTGAAAGGGAAACGAGAAACCTGTTGCTCTCGATGTTTCAATCTATTTTCTTTTCCAGATATCGAGTTAAAAGCTTATCCATAAATAAGTAAGTCTCGCGTGTAATTCGTTCAACAGTTCGTTTGTTCAATCGTTTCGATTTTCCTTTACTTCGATCACGAGAGAATTATTGAGAATCGTCTTCTTCGATCTTTCGTGCTTCTCCTCCTTGAGATTTGAGAGGTGAGAGAGAGAGAGAGAGAGAGAGAGAGAGAGAGAGAGAGAGAGAGAGAGAGAGAGAGAAAGGTCTCGTATACGGTTAATTCAGAATTGGCATATCAATGTTACCGCAATGGTCGAGTGTACGGGTGACGTTAACTGCGCAATTAACGCTACCTCTGATAATCCATAGATATGGGTTTAATCGCGCGCATCCTCGGGATGATCAAAGACAAAGGATCCGTTTACCATGCTACGCTCGCATAGTTTCAAGCTGGCCTGTCGTCCTGAATTTTGAACCCAGAAATATTACACTGAGATTACTTAACATATATATATATGTATCTTTCTACACGTGTAGAGTATATATATTTAACCTTCATTTTTTTACTGTCTATGAGTACGATTTTTTTTTTCAACGATAAATCGAATTATTCATCGAATCCAATATTTGTCCAATAATTTATCCAATATAATTTTTAAAATTATTCTTAGAAAAATAATAATTCGCGGAACTGAAATATTTCCAAGCGGACGATATAAACGGATACCGTTTCAAAAGAGACAAATTGAATTTCTCCGGTTGAAGGAGATAGAAACGGATAAAGACTCGTGTCTTTTGCGGTGGATAACAAAGTAAATTGCCCGTCTAACAAACTTGACTACCGATATTTGCGAGATAACTTCTATTCCAACGAAATTATTATTACTTTTTCCCAAATTCGTGGCCAAATTAGAAATTTTGTATTATTTTATACAAAAAAAAAAAAAAAATTGAAACGATAGAGGGAGGGGAAAATGTCCATTCTCGTGCCAATATATTTCTTAATCCTTCGTACGAAATATAGTTCGTACTCCTGTTGCGTAACTCTTATCTAGACGTTTGAATTGCAAATATGTTATTGCGCATGGCGTAGGAGAGATTCGTTCGTTTAAGCATTTAAACCGCCCTCGGAATTTACCGTAACATTAGCATACGTATACGTTACGGAGAAATGGGATACGAGGTGATATTACGTAAAACAACAACACGCGTATGTTTCTCTCTATCGATACCAATTATTCTTTTTTTTCCAACGAAAGGGTAACAGCATCTTTCTATTCGAGCAACGTTACCAAGCTACTTTTTTTACAATTAGAAATTAGCTTCGAGAAATATCGAAAATAGGTAGATCAGTCGTGTAATGTCTTGGAGAGGAGCGGCGATAAAGCACGCGAATTCGTTGGACTGAAGGTTGATAAATTTGCGGCTGATTCGATAATCGATATCTCAGCGACGGCTGATCCGATTTTACTTAACATCCGGTTATTCGTCGCGAACGTTTGATTCGACGTTTTTATAAAAAAAAAAAGCCTAATACCTTTTCCCATTTACCACGCATTTTTTTTCCCCTTATTCATTATACCGTGCAAATTGTCTTACGATTCCTTTTCGATCTTTATTTAATTCCAATCGTTGCTTGATTTTGAGTGCAGCATCGGAAACGTTTACGTTATGTTATGCTCGAACGTTATCTTGGACGAAATTATTATATCCATTAACTTTTGCGAAGTTTTTGCGAGATGGTAATAAAAGGAAAGATCGAGATGGAGATATATGGAACAAGATGGCGGAGAGACGATTCGAGAAGCCTTTTTTCTAATGTTTATGAAAAGGTTGATCGTACATTCTTTCTCCACTGTCTATGCACGAACTGTATATATAACTAAAAATAAAACGTTGCACTGTGATTCGAATAATGTATAATTAACTGGGCAAAATTTATTTTCAAATGAATAAAATATGATTGTTTTGATGTAATGTATAATAATTATACATTAAAATTTTAAATCCTCTTTTTACAGATTAAACAAAATACGCGTATATAGGCAGAGAATTGATCGGTTTCTGTAAATTTTTTAAAAAGCATTTCTCAAAATATTTATTTTAATTTAAATATAAAATAAGTTATAAATTATCGATGAATTTTGTTTTTTTTTTTTTATAAATTAAATTTAAAGTTAAGTAATTATTTCATATTGGAAATTCATACAATGTAATTATTTGCCAATGATTTTTTATATGTTTCACGTAATAAGAGTCGAATGTACGGAAAATAGAAACTTTCTATTTTTTTTTATTATATTAAAGTTAATTTAATCTAGCTATTGATATTTATGGATTAATTTTAACGTATCTTATATTATAATATATATATATAATAATATCTCTAACTTAAGTTGGCAATTTTTTTATTCCTTTCAATGTATGAGCGGTCGATATGCAATATATCTTCTTGCAGTGCTTTTTCCATTTTATAATTTTTAGTTTTATCGTTATTTCGTTAAATTATCATTGTTTAGATCCATATTTGATCCACATCTATCGGATAATTTATAAAATAGGATTTTTCGAACATATCCCCTAACAAATAGCCATAACTTCTTTTTTTTTAATAAACATTTTTTTTCTCAACGTCCGTTTCTTTAGACTATCAATTTCCAATTCTCAAGGTCCAGTTTATCGTATGTTGTGAAATTCGAAACGCTTTCGTAAGTTAATTGCCTGCCATAACTTTTTTGTTACGTTCGCCGCGAAGATATTTTGCGCGTCTACTTAAGAATTCGAATCACAAATATTTGTACATTCGTATATTTTTAACGAAACAATAAATTATAATAAAAAAGCAGTATTGTTTTTTAAAAATTAAATCTTATATAAAATATAAATTCAAAATTGGGAAAAAAATAATTTTGTCCAGTTTTCTCCTATTATTCTTATACCACTATTCGCGTTGTCGCGTTGAAATTGGTTGTTCAACGCATTTATTTCAGTTGGTGGACGACGATGGAAGCATCGAGACCGCTCTGATCAATTACCTGTTCACGAAACAAATCGTGAAACGGCTTCGAAATCAGCTGGACATCGGTGACCTTCAACGCAAACGAAGTTATTGGAAACAGTGCGCCTTCAACGCCGTCTCCTGCTTTGGCAAATAGAACGTCGAGTTGCTCCTCGATCATCTTTCTCTCTCTCACTCTTTCCTTCCTTTGTCTCTCCCTTTGTCCAGTGGCTAAGCTTTTAAATAGACGACGAGTATAGCTCGACGGCACAAATTCAGATCCCCAGTGTTGTCAAATTTGCATCCGCGAGTTTATGAATCTTTGGTAACTCTTTGATCGTATTTCAAAATGTACGTGTCCTTTCGGAGATTGGAATCGTTTTCGATTTGAAAATGTCGCGGATGTAAATTTAGCAATGATCCATTTCCCCGCAATACGCTGTATTATATTAACATCGATATTAAGGAAAGGAAATAGTAGATTGTAGTACGATGTATCGTAATTATACCTGCGTTAAGATTATAGAGTTTTCTTTCCTCGAGTGAGACTTTGCGAAGCACAATAATTTCATCTTCTTGTCAATTATACTTTACGTATTTTAATTAACGAAGGACGTTGTTTAATAAAGGATCCATTTTTTCCGTTCTGTATACGATCGATCTCTTTATTTTCCGAATATATCTTGCTACGAATATTCAGTAGCGAAATAAATATAGAATGTACAATTTACAATTTTCTACATTTTCCTTCATTAAAGCAGTCGAGTTTCGAAGACTCGATTTCAAGGACAACATACTGGGATGCAAGGAAAAGGTAAGTACAAAATTCTCCTCGAATATTTCTTCCCAATGAATTCTGCATTATTCCATTTTATGTAAAGATAGTCATCGATGAGAACAGGGACAGGAACAATAATTCTGGGCCAGTTCCACCGCGTGCTCTTCCGTCCCTTGAATTTCCAAAGTAGTGGCGACCGCCTCTACCCAAGAGACGTTCACGTGCCTTACCGTCTTTGGAACATCTTCGAATTCCTGAGGAACGAAGCAGAGAATCGAAGTGAATGTCATGCCGCGGGGATTAATGTTCCTATTTGCGGATGAGGGGTAATGATATTCCATAGGCGATGGAAGATTATCAAGGAGCGAACGACGCGAGCAATTGGCGCCTACGGTTAACGGAGTTGACAACTTCCACGAGTCGGAAGCCGCTTAATGCCAATGCTAGCATGCTGTAACGATGCCGGTGTTAACCAAGTTTAACTCTGTTATCGAGGCCCCGCTCGTTCCATCCATTAAAAACGCATCCATTAACTACGCGATCGCAAACTGTTTTACCTTTTTTTACCTAACCTATCCAAACCAAGATAAAACGCGTTATTTTCAAGAATTCCAAGTTTCCGTTATCGATCGATGTACTATTCTTTTTTCCACCCGTTTTAAGCAATTTTTCGAGCGATGAATCGCGCGTTCCTTCTATCAGAAAACTTTAAAAATCACGAACTATATCGAAACTATTTCTCAAAACGATGTTCAAATTAATTGATTTCGACGAATGAATCTTTTTCTTTAGAAGGATATAACGTTTTTTCGTAAAGATAAATTATACGTACGTGAACAGCGGACGATAGGATTTCCTTACAAGGATGAATCATATACGTGGCCGTAGATTTGTCTTCGTCGTTCAACACCTTGGCCCCAAGACTGATATCGATTAAGGAAAATCGATATGTAACCCGATCGCGTTCGAAGCGGTAGAATCGAGAAGCTCACGTATGATTCGTACGTTCCCCTTTTTCGCGACATAGTCGTTAAGCAAGTCGTCTACTTTAAATCCGCCTCAAGGGAGCGTGGTAAGACACGAAAGAAAATCTCGTGTTCCATTTTTCTGTCATGCTACTCTCGCCAACTATTCTCCTCCCCGAGGTGTTACGTACGAGGTTTACGTAAGTACATGTTTTCCATTGGAAAACGCGACTCATTCCACCGAATCCTATATATCCGTCCCAAAGTAATTAAGAAACGTCCCTTAAGTCGTGATAGCCGTGTCGATTGAATACGTCGACCAATCGAGTTTGAAACTGCGAGTTTGAGTTTGTTTCCAAAGACGGAAACGATAATTATTCAAGGAGCTCCTACTCCTTCAATAAGGAATAAAAGGATACGTCTTGAGCATGTTGCGAACATAATCTCGTTGCTTGCTTTTCTTAAAGTTTGGCGCCAAGCTGATCGGTGCACCCTTTAAAACGCTTTTAGATTTCTGTAAAAAAAAAGAAAAGAAAAGGAACGAAACGAGTCACGTTTCGATTTTAGAGGTTAATTTTTTTCGCTACATTATGTGCGTCAGAGTTTGGTATTAGTCCGTTGAAAAAACTAGTTGAAAAAGTAACTAGTTAAAAATTCCGAATAAAATTATTCTAAGTAATTATTTATTAAAACGTTTTAATAATATTTATTTAAATGTTTTAATAATATTTATTTGTAGCTATTATAATTGATCCTCATGTTATCTCATTGGCATTACAATTATTTGCAATTATCATTATATTTTGAACAATTAATTATCGAAGTAACTTTATTCGTAATTTCAACTATTAAATTTTCCCCATCACTGATATGCGTTTATTACCAATTCGTTGCTCGTTAAATTATGCAACGATTTTGCATCCGACGGAAGACCATCCTTGGGTTTTCGTCCTTCGATCCAATTTAACGGGACTCCTGCAGCGGAATACTCGATGAACTATAAGGTATAGGATATAAGGTTAAACGGATAAGATGGTACATCTCATTAAAACATGTAGCGATAAAAACGTACATCCTTATCTACAAAAGCATAATACGCTGCCTCCGTATCCCGTTCGTTGAAAATATTTTTTTTTGCACCATCGTGCCTTCTTTGATCCTTATTTCTTTCGTTAGATCTAGATCGTGTACGAGGAGAATTGACTGGCTTTGCGGGAGATTTCTTTGGAGAAGGTGTTTTAATCGTTTTTGAATCCTTATTTTTCCTTGTTGGAGACTTTGATCTTTCATCTTCGCGTTTCGCTTTTGTGTTCAAAAAAGATGAATCTTTTTCGCTCGTTCTCGTTTTATCAATTTCTTTCTTAGAAGTTGAAGGCAAAAGAAGAGTAAAATCTATCGACTCGGAATTCTTTTTGAAAAGATTTCGCAATTCGTTTAAAGTGATGGCAGAAGACCAATCTTTATCTCGACGAATGCGCGTTACACGTGGAAATCTGATACTAATACCGTCAGCTGTGTGAACACCCTGATTGGTGAACTCTGCCCCCGTTATTTCCCACACCGGTTGTTTCTGCAAATCATAAACGTTTCGTTTGACCTGCTTTCAGCCGAGAATCGAACCAAGTTAAACCCAGATAATACCTTCGGATCCTTTGCAACAAAGTCGGGAATCATTGGTTTATTAGCACGTAGCCAACGTGGTACTTTAGTTGGATCCTTGCCTATCTTTATCATATCGAGTTCGTCCTGAAGACTTGCCAGGGTTGCATCGTCGTGACCAGTGTGTACCTGCATTCAACCGAATTTTAAATTTCGTTGGCATTAAGCGTACATATATATGTACTTAATTTCTTACTTTGGTCACCGTTACCCAGTTGCCACGATCTTCATCGTAGCAACCCATGAGGAATACAGACATCATACCTCCTAAAAATCGTAAGAAACGAATCAAATATAAAAAAAATATGCATACGAAGCAACTCAATAGATCAAATAACAAACCTTTGTTCCCCGTACCGTACCATGCGCCAAGCACAACGAGATCTGCACTATCGGCCATTGCACCGTCGTACAAATAATCCTTTTTTACCTTCAACCAGTGCCTTTTACCCGGTTCATATTTGCTCTACGAATAAGAACGATGTATCCTTAGAATTTGGGCATAGCATAAATACGAAATAAATTGATCATTTTATAAATAACATGCGATAAATACGTGAATATCTTTGAGGACCAAGCCTTCAAGACCCATTTTAAGAATCCTGGCGATCATTTCTGCTAAATCTTGGGAATTCTGAAATTGTTATCGCTTATAATTTTCTACTTTTACAATATTGAATTTAGAAATTGAATTTTAAATTATTTACATGGACTTCCTTCGTTTCCGAGAGCATTATTCTGTTTGGTATCTCTGTCATTCTCTCCGTTAATATTTGTCTTCGTTTCATCATAGATCTGCGCAAAACGATTTATCTAGATACTAAATAAGATACGAACGAGAGAGAAATTGAAAAACTCACTTGTGCAACAAAACATCTCCGTTGTAATAAATGCAATCGAAAACGAACAAACAGGCATTTGCATCTTTGAATTCAGCTTTCTAAAAAACGAAACCGAATAGTGATAATTACGAAGGATTAAAAAGTTTCAACAAAGAGTGTATTTGAACCTTATGAATGCCTAAGGTACCAAAGGGCAACGGTTGTCCAGTATTGGCATCGATCATGAGGATCTCAGAATCTAAAATCAGATCATCGCCGTCTGGAAAAGCTTGTGGAATATAATTCTTGAAGAGATTCACCTGGAACGATACAAAAGAGCACGTGTAAAAGCAACGCGTTGGAGAAATAATAATCGAAACGAAACAGATTTATTTACTTTATGAGGAAGCACTGGTTTCAAGGATCTGCTAAAGTATCGAAATTCGTTCCCTTTCTTATGCACTTGAACACGTTCTCCATCATATTTCACTTCGGCCAGCATTCCATTTGGACATTTCTTCATCGCCATTTCCACGGACTTGCAAGCTTCTGCCTGTTCCATTTTTAACACACTTTTACAACGATTTACAAAGATTTAAACGAAGAAGATACAAAAGCTTTACCAGCATAGGTAAAACAGGTGTCATCAGCGAAAGCGTAACCTTGACATTGGAAGAATTCGATTCTTCCTTTTTTGATTTCGACGGTCGTTGCAAACACCGTTCGATAACGCTGTTCAAATCCCTGGATGTTTGGAAAGCCTCGTAAGCATCTTCGTGCACCGCGGCCAAACTGCGAGAATACGAGAATACAGACGAAAAATATTTGATCTAGTTTAATCGTCTAGCTTGCTATTTATACCCACATATGTTTCGGACCAGCATTTATCCTTAAATCATGCTTGATCAGCCGGATTATCATCTTTAGATCGTCCAGAGTGCATCTGAAAAAACGAGCAACGATTTGCTTTCGAAATGAAGAAATGATGAAATAGGGGAAAAAATAATTTACCTGGGGATGATGGAACAAAAGTGGCTAACTTGCTCCTCCTCTTTGGTTAAAAACGACAACTCTTGTAGAAATTCATCCACCTAATGAGGAAAAACAAATTAATGATTATCTAACCTAACCTCTTTGCTTATCTCTATAAATATCAAGAAATCTGGATTATATGTTAGATATTCATATCTATATATTATAGATATTTGAAATTCGAGTCGATGGAGGATTTCGTTTGGAAATTCAGTTTGGGTTCTGTGGTAATCCGAAAAACATGAAAAAAAAATCCAGCCAGAGATCGACAGTTTCTTTTCTATTTTGGAGAAATACGGAATATTAATATAACCTTTCGCGTTGTCTCGACTATTTATTTTTTTCCCCGCACAAAGAACACGCGCGCGATCCCTTCTGATGTGAATCAATGCAAATCTTCATCTGAGAAATCTGAGTTACCTGTTGAATGGTAAGTACGCTGTTTTCAGCTGGTTTTCGAGCGACGCTTTTCTCGAAAAAGGATCGGATGGTTTCAGCTACGTCTCCTCGTTCGAGATGTTCCAGCATCTCGTCCTCGTCCTCGAGCAGTATACGAGAAAACAGCTTGATCAATTGTTTGCTTTGCAAGTTGTACACCCTCTTCACGGCCCCGGGAAGCAACATTCTGCACCACAGCTTCACGTCGCTTTTAAAACCGTCTGAAAACCGTCATCCGATTTAAAAACATCGATTAAGAATATCTCTAAGTAAACAACACTTTCTTTCGAGAAATTTTCATTCTCAAATCTGGAAAAAGTTAATTTCTAGATGCATGGTTTATTATTTAGGATCCCAAGTATCGCTAAGGCTACGCGACAATCGGCGAAAACAAATACAGTGTTGTTCGGTTCGAGTTAAAGAAACGCCGTGGGTCATCTGCTTAAACGGTAAGATAGGAAAGGGACAAGTAAGCGGTAAAAAGAGAAAATGGAATCGAGTTGGACGTCGTCCGAAAGAATAATCCACGATCAGACGGGCGGTTATCGTGGCCGCACTTATCACCACTCGTAATTTTCCATTCCGTTGTTGCATCTCGATGCGGTTTTCGTTCGTTTCTTTCGACGAAAGCGAAAGGAGGGAGGTGCGAATGCGTCCCGAACTAAAACCTAACCTCCAAATCTCGCGAAGAAAGGATCGAGATTTCGAATCAAGAGCACAAGATCGAAGACTGCTATGAACATTTTCGTGGAAATTAAGACCTCCTTTGCGCTCAAGGAGTCACATCATTATTGCAAAACAGTTGCAATCGTTATCGCAGCATTCGTGACATTTACTTGTGGTGAACGATACCTTTTTCTTTTTTTTTTCTTTCAACGCTCAATTTTTTTCTCCTCTTCTGATCTGTTCCATGAAAACGAAAAATAAATTCTATATCTATCTCTAGATCATTCGCTTATTTTTCTCATTCATCTCATCACGGATTACGCGCGATATCGAAATACGTGGGTTACGAAAGATATATCGCGTATATAAAGAAAAAAAACACACACACAAAAAAAATTGACGTTTTAACCCCGTTACAGGGTCAAACGAGACGGAGCGGAAATGAAAATTTCGTTTATCTTTCTGTTAGGTTCTCATAGGAAGAGATTGAGGTTCAGAGAGAGAAACTGAAATTGCAACCGAAATTGTTTCGCTCGTGCGAGTTTCGTAACACGCGTATATCCAATTCTATCGCAGAAAATTAATTAAAGATCCGATGCCCCGGAGTCCCTGACCCCATTATCATCCGAATAAAATACCCTATAAAAATACGAAATTATCGCGGTGTTTACGTTGCGTGTACGCGATACCCGATGCACCACCTTGTCTCGAGATCGATTGTTTCTCGATACATCCTCGATCCGCTCTAACGAGATTGGTCGATTACGTACTTCTTTCACTCATCGATCGATTCATCGAACGTATACGAAATTCTTAACGAGTTCTCGAATATCAGAATTGGACATTAAAAAAATAACTAGTCAAAAATAAAGTTATTCTAAGTATAATTATTTATTAAAACGCTTGAATAACATTTATTCGTAGTTATTATAGTCAACCCGCTTTTCGTATAACCTCGATCGTTCGACACTACAGTTATTCGTGATTATTATTACGTTTTGAACAATAAATTATCGAACTAACTTATCGAAGTAACTTTACTCGTAACCTCACTATTAAATTTTTCCCATCATTGTCGACTGTATTGTTCACTGGTGTAAAGAAGTCTCGCAGGACAGCACTGAGGCAAGAGGAGTGTCTTTCGTTAGAACCGTCTTCCCCACTTCGGACGCTTTGTTGACAAACCTGACACTACACTCTATATAGTAGTAAGAAGAGGTTATTATTCGAATATTCAAAATCGTAAAAATTATTTCATTTATAAAATTATATAAGAATAATCGAAACTATTAATTATTTCGACATATATCGGTATCTATTCATACAATTATTATCTTAATCACTCGAATATGAAATTACATTTATAAATTATAAACTATCGTTACAAATCGTAATCAGTCTACGCATATTGAGAAATAATGAGAAATAAGAAGTTAGAATTTTTCGAATACTATCTAATGCATTTAAATTATTTAATGCATTAAATGCAGATCGTCGAAATGTGTGTGAAAATAGGCATTTCCTTCCAAAGACTTTTTTCCATCAGTAAACAATAAATAGCTCTCTTGATCCATTCTCTGAAACCAAAGAGATGGAAAATCACCGAGATTTAGTTGTAAAAGTTGTAAAATAATCGGGATACGGGAGAAAAATACGGGATAAGAAAATAAAGAGAGTGAGTGTTATCGATCGAACGGGGAATTTAACCACCGATAAATTCGACGGTTGCACGTCTATTGTGCGATAAATATTATATCCGTGTCACGGAACAAACTTTCTTTTTAATAATTCTTTCGAGAGAGAGAGAAAAAAGAAAGAAAGAAAGAAAAATATAGGATAACTTCGACGCACATTTTCAATTCGATTTGGAACATCGATAAGACGAAGCTAGTACATATATAGTCTCTCCAAACAGTTATGAATCATTACCTACGCAGTAAGATTACGCAACGCGGAAATTGCAATGAAGAAACGATATGTATCGATTCTCGAAGAGGAGGGGGGGGGGGGAGAAAGGAAAAAAAAGGAAAATTTGCAGGAATTCTATTCGAAGGGTTACGAAACACACCAGCTATAGTTCAATAATGCAAATATCTTTTACACACATTTAAAGCGCATCTCGTAATTCCTTGTTCCAAGTGAGAAAACAAACGATGGTATTTTAATTCCGGGAATCGTGCGTACGATCTAACACATATATGATCGATCTATATCGTTTCACGCTGTTACTCGAACGTTGCATCAGGCTCAAGGATCGAATTATCGAATTTTTTTCGTCGAAAGAAGGCGGAGAATTTTTCCAGAGAGAGAGAGAGAGAGAGAGAGAGAGAGAGAGA